AAGGAGAGCATCTTATAAAATACACTTCTATCCTATGGTTAAGCATACAAGGTGACTAGTATTTTTTTTTGTATTTTTAAAAATGATTGAACAATATTTTTAGAAACTCAGATCTACCGATAACGATGTAGACCAAAAAAACAGAAAAAAGAAGGTTTTTATACGCTTTAAACTTGTTTGACTACTACTATGGATACAAAAAACATTGGTCATTTTCTAAGCCTAAACAGATAATGTAGCTTTATTTTGTACGATTTGAAGTGCAAAAATGTACTTTTAAGCAAAAAAAAGGTGATAAATTTTCTTAGATGATATTCTTCCATTACCACAAAGCTAAATAAATTTATAGCATTAAATAGTCTTAATTTTCTTAACACAAATTTAATTTGTAATCGCTTTTTTTTGAAATTTCCTAAATTTTATTTAAGGTTTTGTTTGACATAAAAAAAGTCTTTGAAAATTTCATTATTCAGAGAGTTATTATTTTTAAACAGATTTTTTTAAATTCTAAATAATAAAGCTACTCAGATATTAATAAAATACTAAAAAAAAAAAAAAAATATTTAAGTGCCTGCTAGAAGTCTCTTTGAAATTAGAGAGCTGAAAATTCGTGAGGAAGTTTTACACCGAAAAAACTTATAAACACTTTTTTGAAAATTCTTTCATGACTGTTTTAACTACTTTATCTTCATGGATGGCTGTATTCCTTCATGGAAATAAAGAAACTATGTAATAAGGAAACAAGAGAAAAAAAGCTAAAAAAAGGAAGGCTTTGCTTTGCAAGAACTAGAAATTTAAAGAAAAAGATATTTCAAAAGAAAGTGCTGCAATAAAAAAAGTTACGATAGATTTTTTTGAAGCCTCAATTTAATGAACTTTAAAATAAACATATCATTAATTGGATTTAAAATTTGTCAAAAAATATTTCCTTCTTTGGTACATAGAAAATTATACTTACGAATTTTTATACCATATTTCTTTTATCTTTATTTTTATCAAGAAAAATTGGAATTTTAAACACTGGGAAACTTGAAAATGTCAAGAAATTTTTTTTTAGAAAATAATGGTGGACACCCTATTGTTTATCTTTTTTTTTTCAATAACCATAATTTGTTATTAAAGTGTATCAAAGAAAGTAATACACTCATCAAGTTCATTGACTCATTAGTGAATCAATCACTCGCGTAACCATTTTATTTCGCATCATGCCCCTATTACCCACCTAATGGTTATGATTTTTAATACTCAAGCTTACAATATTCGCTTCTGATGCTTCCTTGATATGGTTTAAATTATTTACTTAACATTTTCGTTTGCTCTACTTATACTTTTACTCAAAGTAAACTAACTTGGATAACAAAGGATATTGCAATGTGGCATGGTTTGCTCGGTTGTTTTTGCATGGCTAACCACTCTCTTTGATTAACCCAATATATATTATTGCGTATGCTGGTGGTCTCTATTATGTATATATTAAACATATTTTTCGTATATTATATAAATACACACAATATATCTTATTATTATCATTATTGTTGTAATGTGTATGTACAATATTTATACACGTACGATTGTGTACAGTATCATATGTAAGCATATAGATGAAAATCAACGAGCAGGTTAAAGGTGCAGTTCTACACTTGCCGATTTGTCGGCCCATGATCTTATATACCCTACCCCCACCAACGAATATGATCCACAACTTTTTAACTTGGTGCGACCGTCACGAGGTTTTTATAGACAGCTCCTTTTCCAAGGCTTTCGAAACGGCATTACGTATATAGTTTTTCCAACGCCTTGGAAAACAAAAAAAACGATGTGGAAACCTTAACTGTGGGGCTGGCGACTGATGCTACTGAACCTACAATCAATCAAAGCTCTTTGAATTTTTATAACATATATATAACCATACATAAATGTTAATCTTCATAGCTCTGTCTAAACTGAGCTCGTCAACTCGCCAACCCCACAAGGTAACGAATCCCACACCAGCTATCTGTATATGCTCAGTGAAAGACTTTAATCTCTATCTGTTTTATTTCTCTCTCTCTTCTTTTTTTTATTTTCTTTCCCAACTTTCCCGCTGTCTCTATACGACCATATAAACATTCTTCTCAAAACCCAATGTGCAACTATCAATGATTAACCCACTCACACCGTGAAACCAAATGACCCTTCCCGCCTCTCAGCGAGCACGCGCGTCTCGAGATCGCCCAAGTTCTCGGAGATTTTTTACGAGGAGCCCGCGACCTACGGCCTGGGCAAGCCGTTGTCCCTCGCCCACTCGTTGAGCTCGCCCGAGCTGGTGATCCCGCTAGCGGCCACCCCCGAGCACGATGACCACTACGAAGATGACTCGCAGCTAGCGCCGAGCTTAAACTACGGCTCGTCCAACCTACCGCCCCTGATAACCTTACACAACACTCCGCTAGCTTCGCCGGGGGCCGTTACCTCGACGACCGACCTCCAGGCAGCACTGTCAGCCACCATCATTCCTGCTAGCGCCACCGCTCCCGCAATCATCCGCTGTAGTAGTACTGCTAATCGTAGAGCCGCCGAGAGAGGCCGCTGCACCGACGACGACCGCAGCGAGTCCAAGCGGTACGGGCGCTCGCACTCGGCCCTTAACCTCCCAGTCATCGAGATCAACGGTGAGTCGGTGCAGGCGAGTAACTCGTCAGCATACTGTTGCGAGCCATTGCCGCAGATCCACGGTGTTGCACCGATAATACCATCCGCGTGCGCCCCCGTCGCTGCTGAAGTAGCTCATAGCTCCGGCTTGGTGCAACCCTCGCTTTTCCCGCCATCGAGTTGCAACCATCGGTCGCGTAGCGGCGACGCTTCTCCTCGTAGGCGTCGCCGACGTCGCCGCCACCATCGTTCTCAGCCCCATGACCATCATTTCTTTAGCCATCTCCACTCTCTTATTCCTTGCCGGTACAACGCGGTTGTGCGTAGGCGCTCGGCCTCGAGCGCGTCCCTCGGGCCCGAGCGGTGCCGACGTGTGCAGCAGTTGCACCGGCACTCTGTCAGCTCCAACAGCAACCAACTCGAGGTGGTGACTGACGCACTATTGTGGCGCTCGCGCTCCCTATCCCCAGTGCCGCGCCGCTGCTCGTGCTACAACTGCAACGTGTCCGAGCTGATAATGCAGAGCCGCGACCTCTCGCCCTCCGAGCGCTCCAATTTTCGCACCTACTTCGTTCGCTCGCTCTCCCACAAGTTCTCCAACTGCTCGTGCTACTCGCTCGTCCAGCGGCAGCAGCAGCAGCAAGAAGAGAACAACTCCTGCGAAAAATCGGTGTTGTCCGGCTCGTGTCCGGAGTTTGCACCAATCGATGGCTCCTCGTTCGTAAGAAACCGGCGCAGCGACTCGCTGGACTCGAACTCCTCTTCCGCTACTTCGTCCTCCTCGTCTAGTTCCAGCTCTTCCGTCTCGACCTCCTCTTCCTCCTGCTCGTCTACTAACGACAATAAACCACTGCATCTGAGCTGCTCGCTAGACTGTCTACCGAAGACGACGAGGACGTTCCACTTTCCGTCCTCATCGGTAGACGGCACCGCCAATACTTGCGGCTATTTTCATTGTTACTATTGCCGCGACTGTTACACGTCAATAGAACGCAGCGACGACGCAGCTGCCGCGACTCGGAGGCGCGAAAACGACCGTGACTCCGAGCGCACTCCACCGAGGAGTAGCAGCTGCGCCGACGACAATGGTGCAGCCACGGTGAATCCTCCTCGCCGCTGCTGCACCAAAAAATACAATGGGAGGAAGAGAAAAAGCCACGCCTATTGCAATAACTTTAACCGTTCGTCCCCTCGTCATCACCATCATGTTCATCATCCCACGTCTCTTTACCCGTCACATTACAACAATAGCAACATTAACAACAAGAATCGAGTGCATCCGATGCACCTGCACAACTACCACTACCACCACCACCACCATCATCAGCAGCGTCCCTTCCTCCGCAAGCTCCAGCAACAACGATCCTTTTCGTCCCCAGACACGCGACCTTCGCTCATTCAACCTACTGACCCTACCTGCACAGCAAGGCGCCACCGTCACAGTATCTCCGGACAGATGAGTTATTTCAAGCTATTGGGCTACAACGTTAACAAGAAGCTCACCGGCTCGGCCAACAGTCTCTTCAGCACCGCCGTGATCAGCGGCTCTTCCAGCGCCCCGAACCTCAAGGATATGGTTCCCCCGCACGCGTCCGCCGTCGCCGGTAAGCTACACTCTGATTATCAACCATCACCAGCTTTTTTTTTTTTTTTTTTTTTACTCATTACGTGGTTGCACCGATTCGTGCCGTTGTACACATGTAACAGCGATCGAGGGCTTCGGCGGTGTGCCGCCCATCAGACCGCTCGAGACGCTGCACAACGCGCTGTCGCTACGCCAGCTGGACGATTTTTTGGAGGTGATGACGAGCGCACTGCTCTTCCGGACCCCGGCGTCCTCGCCTCCCAAGTTTCCCTCGCCCCTCGAGCCCGGGGCCATTACGGCCGGGCAGCACCAAAGTCTCGCTATCGAAGCCGCCAGGTATTCTATTGCACATTTACATCGTTGGCCTCGTTTGTGCACTGAGAAAAACAAACTAAAATTTACTGATTTAGCAAACTATACAAACTGGTAGCATTACGTCGTATGGGATCTTTTTCTCGTGCTGCTGATGAAAATAACTGCAAAAAACCCTCTAAATGACGGAATGCAACTTGTTTGTAGTGCAGGAACAGTAACTTTTTTTTTTGTTCCTCAGTGAAAGAGTCTTTTGTTTAATCGATCGGGGTATAGGGTGGTTTAGTACGGTCGGAGGTATTAGTATTTATACCGGGATATTTCCAAGTGGCAGCACTGCAATTTTGCAGATAGTAATAAAAGAAAAATAAAATAATGTGTTCCCAAATTTAAAAGTGATGCATTTATTCGTGCCTGAACTGAGATGCTCGAAAGAATTTCAGCAAAACAAGACAATAAGATATTAAAAAGAATATCTTTTTTTTTTAATTCACAGTTTAAATATCAATATCGTTTTGCTCTTCGATGAAGTTGCTGACACCCTACTATATATTGTGTATTGTAAATTAAAACAGTCCTGGCTGCTTTAGTTGGATAAATAGTTTAAAACAATTTTTTTTTTTTTGCACATTTCAAACTTACAAAGCCTTGTAAAGTAAAGAATATCTGACTGGCATAATTTTTAGTACGTAAAAAAATGAAAAAGAGAAAAAAAATATAGCGTCTCGGTTCTTCTGAAGTTTTTACGCCTAGGATTTGGTTTTTGACTACGTGATTTTATTTTTACGACACTGATATTTTTGTAGATTCACATGCGTGGTTTCTTTGTCGAAAATTTCTGACTATTTGAGATTTTTAGCATTGGACGAAATTACTCGACTCGTTAAAAAAAGTATTAGATACAATAGCTGCTCACATTACGTTAGTATACTAGTTTTTCTGTACTTAGATTTTTAAAACAAAATGTCTCAATAATTGAAAACGTCGATTTACTTATGTAAATAAAAATTGTGACCTGTTTCCCAAAAAAGATCTATTTCTAGCTTTTAATTGTATATTTTTTGTCAGGTTAACTCATTATTTATGGAAAGGATTGAAGATGATATTTTCCGGTGAAGTTATAATAAGTACCATAAATATAATTATCGATACAGGCTACGTAATCAGACGGTATTTTATATCTGTGTAGTATTACAATGTGACGTTTATTATGATTTTTTAAATCTTTTTTTAATCTTTTTTTTTGTGAAACAAGAACGTTATTACTTTTGATACTTTGTGTTTAACCACATTGCATTTTTTTTATCGTTCATTACCCGCCATGTCTATACTCATTCACATGCCATATTATCCGTTTCTAATCTCGTATCTAATAACAATACATATCGCGTAACATTGAGTGTATCGTATTTAATGTGCGCATATACGTATTGCGTTCATCAGTCTGAAAAGTGTCGTGAATTATATTGAATTATACACACCGTAATAATTCACATGTTGAATTTTTTTACTTGTGAGCTAAAATAATATATCGTGATATGTTTCTATTTATGTACGTTATTAATTGATTTAATGGATGATTGATTGCACAGTTGTCGAAATTAAATAATAAACCCGATATCCTCGTCGTGATCCCAATGTTGATGCTTAGGTACATCACACCGGCTTCGATGCAATACAAAGGAACTCACGAGAACGAGCCGAGTGACATTAGAAATCAAGTGTCACCCACAAGTCCCAACAGTACGTACTAGAGTATTATTTTTGCAATATTCCATGAAATTGGGACAGAAAGTATAATGGTCGTGTGATTTTTTCAAAGGTGCTGGCTGGAGCAGCGAGCCCCCGTCCTTTTTGTCTTCTGAGCCGTCCTCGCCAGCCCCAACCTCAGCCGGGGATTGCAGCATGTCGATAAGCCTAGTTAGCATTGACGGGTGAGAACGCGTCTATGTCATCAATTACACGACAAAAATTATATTTTACACTACCATCAAAAAATTCGAACTGATTTTATTTTATATAAAACATCATGTGATAAACGAGGACAATTATTGTACGCGGTCTTTTTCCCTGCGTGTCATTAGATCCAAGGTAAATTACTTGAAAAAAAGTATGACATTTAGCTTGGAATTTTTATAAGTATTGGTAACTCATGTGATTAAGGTCCCGTTTCGTAGGATCGACCAAAGCTGAAACCTTGTCGATTAAGATAAAAACAATCTTTGTCATTGAATTTCATCTGATTGTACATCAAGTGGCACCAAAATTAAATTAATCAGATAAGCTTGAGTGGTCGGTGAATGAATTGACTTGAATACCAGTTTGCATGATGCACGAAAACTGATTTGTAGATCGCAGCCGTGTTCAGCCGGACCCAAGTATTCGCCGAATCGTGGCCTCGAACTGGACTACAGTGACCTTTGCGTGAACGCTGAACAAAAATTGGATCAGCAGCAACAGCAGGCGCGCGAGAGCCGTGGCAGCGTCTCCTACACGGACTACTACAGCAGCGAGGATGGACAAATCAGACGGACCGTCAACGACAATTGTTTCCCGATTTTCGTGAAACCCCAGACCCAGACCACACCAATTCAAACGCCGAGTGGTGGGCGTTCGGCCGACGAGGAGGAAAACCCGGAGGACGAGGACGAAGACGCGCACACGCTCACTCTGAAGCAGAGCGACGAGCAAAGGAAACAGGATGTGCAGCAAATCTTCGAGCAGAAGGAGAGCCAAATTGTCAAACCGAGCAGCAGTTACAAGAAAATCGGAAGGTATGCACCTATATGTGTTTACGGGGAGTCGCTTTGGTTGGATCTTGAAAACGTCTGAGACAAATGTATAACCTTGAGTATGACCTTGACCTTGACCTTCAAGTTATTTGAACTTCAGATTTTTTTTTATGCGAATATACATATTTTAACTCAGGAATATAGAGAACAAGGAATTGAACTACCCTTGACCTTCAAGGAGGGTCAAGGTAATTTCAAGGCTATTTTTATGAATTATAGGTTAAAGTAACACAATCGTTACTTGCAGATAAATTATAGTTTATCGTTGGAAAAAAAGCTTTTGACCTTCAAATGACCTTGACCTTTAGTGCAGAACTTGAGGTGTAAGGAAATGTCTGTTTATGAAACTTCCTGCTCACTACTTTGCAGGAATAATAACAATTGACCTTTAAATGATTAAAGAGTAAAGAATCTATTTTTGTTCCTTCAGATTCCGAGTGGAAAGCATGGAGATTCACGACGAAGACGTGAGGATTAAGGAACCGAGCACCATGAGTTCGAGCGTCTCCAGCAGAGGCAAGCCCATTAAGCCCGATCCGATGATGAAAAGCAACAATCTACTGCGCTCCCAGAGCGTATACACGCCAAAAGTCCGTTCGGTGAGCGGTTCAAGGTCACCTCTCATAGTTAAGCAGAGTTCCCTCTCGGCAGCGCCGGATACCTGGAAGGGCTCCTCTCTGAACGAGCCAGTGTCGCGTGGCGACCACAACGAATCGAAGCAACAGCCAGTGTTGACGCTGGCGAGTAGCTTCACCGATAAGGCTAACGTTACCTTTGGATTCGACGTACCGCGGGATAAAAAGGACTGAAGTCCTCGAGATAGTTTTGTGTTTTTTTAGAAAAAAATTTTATTATTATTTTGCAATATT